TTTTTCCCCTAGCTCTACTACCAGGATAATGAAAGGCTGCTGTGTCTCTGAGCACTGATTTTGTCTAGATAAACACCAGCACACCACTTTATTTCAGGCCTCTGCATTGATCTTCAGGGTCACACAGCTCTCCCCACTGCAGACAGAGAGGGACTAGGGTGGAATTTTGGCCGTGTAAACTCCCTTCCCATCTGGGTCACCTTTTCCATCTGTCTGAAACAGACCAGTGCTATCAAAGAAATGTGTGAAGCAAGATTATTGCTTTGCTGCAGCCCAAGTCTGAGCACCCATTTTTTTCCCCTGGTCAGCAGCTCATCCTGAGAGATACAGCTATCGATTACCAGAGGTGGTGTTCCCAACTCCCCAACATGCAGCAGAGATCCTGGGATGTACCTCAAACCCAGATGAGCTTTTCCTCACTTCTGCATCCAGTTTCCCCTGTACGTACCATATTCTCCTTCTCAGCATCTCCCCCCACACAGTACTTTTCATCAAGATTGTTATGCCTTTTCCACCCTCCAATCATTAAAAGTCTTGAAGTCTTTCACCTTAAAGGTGAAAAGGAAGCAAAGAGGAATAGCACCTTCAGCTGAAATGGAAAGGAGAATTTTAATAGGCAGAACATTACTATTCTGTGGATGTAGGCTGTGTGCCTGCAGTGCTCCTGAAAGCATCTGGCAGCCAGAAATGTAGGCTCAGAGAGGCTAAAGAGGCAAAAATACTATAGGATATCTCCTTGGAATCTCACAATTATCCAGAAATCCTTTTGCCCAGTTTCTCCATACACGACCCTTGCTCTGACCGACTGCAGTAAGTCACAGTTCCTCTGCTTCCTCACGCACCACATGTGGTTATCTTAGTGAAAGCAAGGCAAAGGTAGCAGGAGCTTATTTACTTAATATCTCAGCAGTTTATCAAGCCATATCCAACCCAGTCATCCTGGGAATTCATCTGAGAGGGACACAAGAACCAGAGTAGCCTGGATTCTAACTTGCAAGGTGCAGCTCTTCACAAGTTGGTGAGTGGGAAAGGGCCCAGCTCTGCAGAGGACTGTGCTGAGCTGGGCTGCTGTGTATCAAGTAGCTGCAGCTGGCTGTGACCATGTAGCTGGCATATTCCCATCAAGTCAGGGTGTGCTATAAGATGCTGCTGTCTAGCCTGAGCCTTCAAAGCCAGTAGGCTACGTGCCATTAAAATGAGAAAAATAGACAAGGAAAGCATTCCCAGCCTTCAGCAAGCATGTCCCAGAAACCAGTGTCTTGCCTGAACAATGCTTAGTGATTTGTGTGCCATACGGATGCAGGAGACTAAATAGCCACGTAGCAGCCAAAACATCAGCACCATCGCACCTGTATCGGCCCAGTCTCTGTGATCCCTGTCCTTGCACAGCTTCCCTCCACCACATAGGACCCACTGCTTTGACATGGCACAGCCTCCGCGCCAAGCAGGAACTCTTTACCAGATGCAAGGGGGAACAAGACTGCTGAGGATACTGGTCTGGTGACTGGCCTGGTGGATGAGGGAAAGGCTGTTGATGTAGTAGGGGGATGGTTGGACCAGATGATCTTGGAGGGCTTTTCCAACCTAAATGATTCAGAGACCCCATCTGCCCCACCCTCTGCTCTCTCTGCTGGGTAGCACCTTGCTCTGGATTCCTGTTGTGAGGATTTCAGGAGGATGGCAACAGTACTGAGTGTTGTTAAAGAGTCAGGTTCAGATTTCAGAAGAAACTCACACTGCCTCCCTGAAAGAAAATTTCTGCAAATGCAGTTTTGACCAGAGTCACTGAGGACAACAAGAAAACAGAATTTGCTCATTAACAGTGCCAGCTGCAGCCTACAGAAATGAATTTTTAAATTTGCCCAATAAGAAAGGAAATAAGGAACAGAGAAGAGCATGGCAGCACATGCACTTCACACACGGCAGCTCTCCCTCAGTTACACCCCTGGCTCTGCAGCCAAGGCCGGAGCAGGTGCAAGGCCCTGCCAGCTGCGGTGCCCCTGACAGGTGCTGGCGCTGCGCAGCTGACGGTGGCTGGCAGCGGCCCGGCCTCCCTCCCAGCAAGGAAAGCTCACAGCCCCACTGGTCCCAGCAGGACCACCTGTCTCGCCCATGGTGGGACCTGCCAGGCCTGCACCCTTTCACAGCCAGGCACCCCGAACTGAGGGTGCACCACACCCACCCCCCACTCATCTCCCAAAGCCCTGCAGGTCCCAGGCCGTCGCCGCTGTACAAAGCCACCCCGTCAGGCAAAGTCCCTGACAGGCAGCACTGGAAGTTCATCTTTTCCAAATACGTCGAAAACAGAAGCCCAGGGCTGGATGTAGGTTTGCTGAGATCAGGGCTATTCTGGTGCAGACAAGCTATGTGCTGCTGATAGGGAGGATTAATGAGTCAGGCCGCTCATCCGTTGCAACCAGAAACAACTCTGCAACTATTTTGGTGCCATTTCTCTGCAGAGAGCTTGGGTTGCTTATCAGCCCCTTCCCCTTATATATCTCTCCCTGTAATCGTGGCTACGTTAAATATAGGGTGGCAAACTGGCAGCAGCACCATTTGCACACACTGCTGTGTTCAGAGCCAAGGTGCAAAGGGCCATTTGCTAGTGCCCACTCAGTAGTAAAAGGGGTTTGGAGAAAGGCACTAATAAGTTCTCAATGTCACTTAATTGACGCTAAAATTGTTCAGTGCATACGGGAGAGCCAAGCACACTGTGGACCTAGTTTGCCTTGGCTCCAGCGAGAAGGACCTCAGCTTCTGAAACTCCAGCCAACTGCCACATTTTTTGGCAACCTGTGGAAGTTTTAAGAAATGGCTTGTGGCATTAGTACGGCAAAAGGAGTCCTAGCTCCTGGGCTCCATTCCTTACTTTGCTCTGTGACCAGACACATCTCTCACCTGCAAAACGGGAGGGACAACGCCTCTGTAAAGGATGAGGTCTTGCCTCATGCTTCCATGGTGTTATTTACAAATGTGGGTGACACTTAGGGGCAGAGAATGACCCCTGAAGAAACCTAATGCCGTTTATTGCAAACATACTAGGCTGTATACAGAGCTGTAAACATTTTATTTGCCTAGACTGGAAAAGGTTACGTAAATAAAACTGTGCACCAAATCCCCAGCATGCCTCAAAAACACAGAGTAGCAACCGGGCTCTCACTGCAAGCTTTCCAAGATTTTTAGTGATGTTACACAGGCAGGTTCAGTGGAGTCAGCTGGCAGCAGGCATCCAGTGCATGAGTTCCCATTCCAGACTGTGTCAGGGAGCCCAGACCAGAAGAGCCCACCCTGGTTTGGTTCCTCCAGCAGGACTAACATGTGAAGCATGGCTGGAGGCCAGACCGTGACCTGGCTGTCACTGCAGCCCTTGCTACTCAGGGAGTGCGGCTGAACACCAAGGAGGGCTCGGAGAACAATCCCAGGCAGCGTGCTCCTCAGCACCTTTCTACCTCCTGCTGGAAATGAACCACTGCAACCTGCTGTCAGTAACTGCAAAAATCTGTTCTCAGTTGTCAGAGGCAGGGCAAAGCAATCTGAGGCAGATGCACAATACTGCACCTGAACTGCATATGTTTAATAGAGCTTTCAGATGGACATTACCAGGGACCAAGTTTTGCCCAGGACTGTTGGACAGACCTTTGAAAACAAACGGCTCTAGGCAATTCCTCAGCCCAGCTACCAGTATCTCACCTTTTTTCATTCCAGTATCCCCTTTGATCACCCCAATGGATTTAACAAGTGACCAGAACATGTTCTCAGTGAAGCCCCTGCCTATGCCTCTGACAAGCATTCTGTACCTGCACATACCTTGCAAACCCAGTGGCTCTCTATTCAGAGTCCTTGCACCACAGACAAACCTCTGCTCATCCATATGACCCATCCAGAGCAACTGACCGCAGTGTTCTACAACCTGATCTTCTTTAAATGCTCCACCAGTGCATGCCAGAAGTGCAACTGGATACGAAAACCTCAAGTGCCAGACAGCTCCTTCACCTCTCCACGACAAATAAATCTTCATGATAAATCCATGCTCTCCTATGTCACATCTTATATATAGACAATCAAAGGAGCTAAGGTGCAGCAAGAAGTGTGAAGTCAAGGCATATGTGTTAAATTACATTTAACCTCTGGTTTAGTGCTTTCATCTGGCCGAAATAGTTTACATTCACAATGGTTCAGCTTTACTCCCTGATACACATGAATTTCTTTAAGTATTTCCGTACTGTACCAAATTCTCCCCATCACAGATACAGCACCTATTATCCCCAGGAACTAAAATTCTGGTTGTTTTTCCCTGTCACCGAGATGAATCCAGCCCTGAGGCACAAGCTCCCTGGCTCTGTGCTCACAGGGACAAACTGTCAGCACCCAGGTACATAATGAACAGGAGGGCCTGTCATGATGGAGGGTTTAAGCCTGACTAGATCCGAATAATTTAACAAAAGCTCAGAATTTGTGAGGCAGAGACCATACCTCTGTGTACTCCAGGCTGTTGACTCCATTAAAATGCAAGGAGAAGATCAGCCACTGAGTCACTGTCAGGTCTCATGCTGGTTAAGTCCTGTTACAGCCCGTTTCACACCTGCCAGGCCTCCCCATCCTAGACAGCACAGACTGGAGAGACCAGCATGCTACTCAGCTGGTTATTGTAAGGTGTAATTACAACGCCCACACAGCACCCCTTGCTTCTAGTAACAAGGTGGCTCCAAGCAGGAGGTCTTAGTCTCTGGCCTCTCTGGGAGAAGTGCTTTCTGGACAATACCCAAATCAAACCAGGAGCCCAACAGGATACCTGAAAACATTTATGGATTGTTAAGAATGCCTCATACCTTTAAAATGACTGGTTTTAAATCTCTTTTCTCTGGTCTGCGGAGCAACAGGGTTGGAAAAGACGCAGAAAACAAACAAATCAAGACAAGAAAGGAGCGTGCTGCTCCACCTCACACTCCACTGGAACAGGAGGCGAACAGAGGGAGAGGAGGAAGAAAGCAACCACTCACCAGAAGCAGTGTCCAGCCGAGCAGACTGATTAAAATTGCACCCATCAGTAGGGCACGGAGAGGCTGGCAGCACCAGGGTTCACTCCTTGGACCACAGCACAGCTTGAACCATCTCCCTCCACTGCTGGCAGAACACTAAGTTGTGCTTGGGGGAAACCAAGGGCTCCAATTATCAGCTACCGATTTCAGGCTGTGCTGAAACCATTTGAAACCTGCTCATCCATCACCACCTCTGTGGTACCTACAGGAACAGCAGGCAAGCATGCCACAGGAAAGCAGACACCTGCTAATGAACCAGCCATCAGCCACTCGTTATCTTTGATTACCTCCTTAACTCAGTCAGGAGATAGCGTGCTTTATTTTTGTCCTCCCTCCTGAATCAGCATCTTCATTTCCTGGGAGACTTTGCTGCTGGTGGTGCCCATGCCGAGAGCCAGCTCGACAGTGGCCAGTCAGGACTTGAGGCTGAGACACTCCTAGCCTCTTGGGCACGTTCCCACAGCTCTCGTGGCTCCTATCTCTGTCCCATCAGCTCCTGGGAGTGCTTTTGGAAACACCTGCCTACAACCAGTGGTTGGCAGACCTCACGACCATACAGTAACAACAAGCTCCCTCTGTAATTGCTTCACCGAGAAGCCTTCATAGCCCACACCTGCCAAGTGAACAGGTGAGGGACCTCTGATTTGTTTTTCCCCAAAGGAAATTGAGTACAAGAACACTGATCTTGAACTTAGTCCCCCCTTTCTCTAACTCGGAGCAGCAAAGAGCATTCCTAATCTCTGCCAGCTACCGATGTGACTCAGGTGCACCCACACATGGAGAACAGCTGAAAAAGGTTGAGCCCAAGTGCAAAGGAAGGGGGAAGGAGACCATCTCTGCTAGGGGATGTCCTTCCTCCTGGGGCATTCAGATTTCCAGATGGTAAAGGGTGCTCCCTCTATCAAGACACTCCTCAGCCCCAGAACGGTCAGAGCCTGCGAGGTTTTGATGCCTGGGCAATGCTCGCCACCAAGGGCATCTCAGCAAAGGGACCAACATAGGAAAGAAAAAAAAAATCAATTCCAGTAGAAAAATAATTTAATAAAGGGATAAGTTTCAAGAAAATATCTGTATAGTAACAACATTTTAAGTAAAATGTCCACAAAAATATACATGTCTAATGCGATTATACATCAGTTTTCTGACAGGTCCTGTTTTAAACTTGGTTCAGTCCACATTGGTTTTCATCTAGGAAAAACCTTCACATCTACCAGGCTTCCTGGGATATATCAGTTTGCACAACAGAATCATATGAGAAACGTTTTCTAGCTCATTTTAGGCTCATACAAATAAACTTTGATTTGGAAACAGTCAAGATCAGGTTATACCATATCATCAGGAAAAAAAAAAAAGCAAATAACAAACAAGGAAAGCAAAAGAAGTCAGCCACCTAAGGGACACTGTCAGGCAAAAAGCACCAGCTCTACAATATGCACCACATGTAACACTGACATAGCTGGAAAAGGGGAGGGATGAAGGGAAAGATGGGCAAAGGAGAGGGAAACATCCCAGCGTGGCCAGGGATCATGGAACTGCAAAAGGAACAGCCGGTAGAGAGGCCAGGGAAAAAACATGGAGGAGACCAATATATTTCTAGAAAACAGCTTTGTAGCACAGAAGATAAGCTAATTGCAGGAAATGAAAAGGAATCAGTAAAAAATGTTTATTTCTTATTTTTCTAAATGACTATTCAGCTGTAGGTCTGTCCCCAAAAGCCCTCCCCAGTTGTGCCAATTCAGCTGAACAGCTCCAAGCTTGATGTACTTCCAGGAGAGAGAAACATGGCTACAGAAAGCGAGGGATGCAAGAGTACAACAAAAAATAAAGAAAGAAATAAATAAAACATTCTACCAGCGGAGGACAGGAATAAAACACTGAAAAGGAGATGTCTAACAAAAGATACCAGCAATGTACACTGAACAAAAAAAAAAAAACACAACACCATCCCACAGAAAGCAAATAGAAAATCACTAAAGAAATAAAAGGACACGCATTTTCCAAAGGATTTTTTTGTTTTTATAATCAATTATTTTTACATAGACAACTGAAACACACCAATATTTTGTGCGAAAAATATTTTTAAATAAACTTTGCTTGTTCTCAATTTTTGTACATTCTGATATACATATGTAACAAGGTTTATGGCACTGTAACCAGGATCAAAATCATATAAAGGAACAAAATAATTGCTTTCATTTATCCCTTCTGAACCAAGCCGGCTGCCATTTCACTATTAGACCTTAAAAATTATTATCTAATTATTAGTGAGCAGCCAACTCTAATTGGATTGAACACTCAAAACAAACCCTAAATTATTATTGCACAAGAAGCCAGTGAAGGCATATGGCATAGAATGATCAAAGTCCCTTACTGTTAAAACCTTACACCCCAAAATAGAAAAATAGAACTGGAACATGAAACACACCAAAAAACTTTTTTTTTTTCTTTAGTTTGAGTCAGGAGTGTGAAAAGTGCCTTGCAGACTTTTTAAGCTGCTCTGATCTCCTTTGCATCAGTGAGCATTTTGCTAGGTTATCTTTAGCAAAGCCTTTGCAGAATGAAGGCCCTCATGTTTCAGGGAGTTTTTTCTGCTTTGTTTTGGCCATTTGCATTTCATCTTCAACTTCGGTTTCTTCAGTCTATGAACCTGCACAGACTACTTAGCCATAAACTCTATGAGTAGCTGGAGAGCAGGAGGAAGAAAAAACAAAACAGAAAAGCCCAATATTTCTTCTTCTTGTTTTGATTTTAAGAAGTATTCCTTTTGCTCCAAAGCCTCCCTGCTCTGCCAGTGCCTGGGAAGGAAACCACAACCACATCCCAAACATGGCCAAGTTCTTGGATCTCTTTTAAAAACCTTTACTCACAAAAAAAAGGTTTTTATTCACAAAAAGTCTGCCACAACCCACCCACCCCCCCCGGAAGCTAAAAAGAAAAACCCACCCATCACTGCCCTAAATCAGGTGAAGAATACGCTAACCCCCTTGTTGACTTCACCATCACACAACAGTTTCTACGCCGATCAGCTTTGGTGTGAGGATTCGTGGTGTGACGCCGTTGTTTAGATCTTCCTCAAACTCCAGTAACTGCCCCATAAAGTTAAGGTTGGGGGAAATGATTGGTCGCTTGCCTTTTACAAATTTATAGGCATCCGTCATGGTCATTCGCGTGTGCTTCATCAAGTATGCGATAACTATGGTGGCAGATCGGGACACACCGGCCTGGCAGTGAATGAGGAGACCTTTTCCACACTGATGGGCTTCCTCTGCAAATGAGAAAAACAGAAAAAATAAAGTTTCTGCTATTTTGTAAATTAGAAAAGCTCAGTGCAATTAGGAGTAACTTGATGTTAAAGCCCTTTTATCTGTTTAGAGGCACAGCAGTATCTCCTCCCCTTCCATCTCCACTCTACCTTCCTTCAGGGTTTCACAGTTCCTTCAGGTGAAGCACACAGACCAGCCTAACAGCGAAGATCTCCACGTTTGCAGATCTCTCTGTTATAGATGAACTGTACCACTCAGAGATGCTACTGCACTGCTCGTAAGCACTGCCAGCAAATATTTATGCAGGCGGTCAAGGTCCACAAAAAGGCAGCCTGAGCTCCGTCCCTACCTCTCTCACAACACCACCGTGTTATTCAGTATCTCAGCTTCCCTGCCTTGATAAGCAATATGCCTTTCCAGAAGTGGGTATTTTCACATTCAGTACATAACAAAGAATATATGCACTTTGTTGTCCTAATCTCTGAGGCTCTTGAAATTAACTTCATCTGGGCAATCTGCACATTTCAGTTTCACTTCCTGCAGCTTTAATCTTCACTAAACTTGTGTTTGTTTTGTTGGCTTTTTTAAAAATTTATTTATATACATATATGCCAATGACCTACTGTTTAAACATTTACAAACATTCTCAAATGCAATTTAAAAGTTTACCCTGAGGGAGGGAAAGCTTTGACTAGTTACTTCCCCAGCTGGCTAAATTTACTATGGAAAAAAAAAAACTCAATGGAGAAACACTTGTTTATTAAAAACAAAGATAGCCCCTTGAGCTATAATTATTAAAAAGGGAAGCAAAATGGGTTTTAAAATACTTTCTAAACCTTTTCAGAGCAAGGCTACTTTCTCTGCCCTTGGTTAGGTCATGAAACAATAATAAAAAAAAACAACAGTGTGTGGTGTAGGAGCTCTAACCCCGCAGTTCATGGGGATGCTGGATGCAGAAATCTCCCTCTCACCCCCAGAAGACCTCAGTGGAGTTTTGCAGTTTCTTTATGAAACCTTAGCCTACTGCATCATCTTGTCTTCTTGAATTCAAAGTTTTAGGTTTTACTGGATTTCCTGACCCAGTTTTTGTTCCCTAAGGAAAAAAAAAAATAATTCCTCTCCCTTGTCCTCAGAGAGGGCTCTAGCCCTTCACTTCTCCCCAAAAGGTGCCTTTGTCCCCTTCCTATGAACATAGTGATCAGTAGGCCTGACAGTGCTGCTGGTAGAGGTGAGGTTGGGTTAGGAGCCATTGGAAAATAATGACTTTAAACAGAGATCTTTTGGTTGTCTGCATGGCAGAGGTCAATCAAAAAGGCTGCTGTTGGAAGCTCCTTGTGGGAAGACTTGAGAATTAATGCTGTATATATCAGAGCTGCAGCGTAAGCAGTGTTTCACCTGGTCACCTTCACTGAAACATCTCACCTGCAGGCTGTATCAGCACAACGACCCCCTGCTAAGCAAAACACAGCCAGACCCAGCAGCACCTGAGAGCTGCCTGCTTCAGAGCAGTGAGTCCCAGCACCACTGAGGCAGATGGGCTCAGAAGAATATGCTGAGCTTGGACTCACTACCCCAGGGCCCAGCCCTATGACCAGTACCTGATCCTTGCTGAGCCCCAGAGCACCCCACAGAGCCAGCACAAGCAGTCTCAAGTTTCAGAGGAGCTGTGCACCTATGCTCTCACTCAGGAGCCATAAACAGTGGCTATTTTTGAGAGCAGGGACAGAGGAAGACAGCTCTGAGTCCACTTTTAAAAGTCCATGGGGTCAGCTAAGGACCTAAGCTGTGATACAACACAGAAGCATGTTTTCATCATCTTGTCTTTCATTATCAAGCCTGAACTATTGGTAACAAGATTAGCCCAGCCTCAGCAAGAGGGAGAAAAATTGCATGCCTGTGGTTCTGCACCACATCCAGGCTGTTTCAG